AAGAATATATTTATCCTAAACCAATATCGTGTAAGTAATTTTCTGATGAACTTTAATCAGCTGACGGGACTTCTTAAAATGATTTTAATCAATCTTTTGAATGCACTTAATAATTGACATGTAATTTACTCGCTATCATTGAACTACAATTACGTTTTCAATCGATGTAACCGTTTTATATATAGTGAGAATCTTTCTTTCTCTAATTGGAAGCACAGGCAATGCAAAACGTGAAAACCCATTTCAAACAAATTGTAACATTTATCATTTTTTCTCTGTTCTCTTCATTCGTCATGGACATGGCGATAAAAAGAAAAATTGATAGACGACGTAGTTTGTCAAAAATCGTTTTTCACGTTTTCCACTGTCCGCGATTTCAACCTCGAATACAAGAAAATATTAGAACTATAAAAACTGATGTAACTGATTAGAAATCCACTTGTCATTGGAAATATAAGTTAAATTTCATGTTCATTAGTATGACGGTTTATAAGTGTAATAAAATACCATTTTAAGAAACGAAAAATTGTGAACATGTCTTGAATAAGAGAAAATAACGGTATTCATAGATCTAGTATAATTTGATACAATTTGATGCATTTTTTACAAACATAACTAGATTATATTATGTACATTCTATTAAAGTAATTAAAAGAAGAAAGACTTCCGTTTCTTCCAAGAAGAGTCACGTGACCTTAATAATTGAAAGAAGAAACAATTGTCACTAATTTTCATCTTACTTTCATAATTCTATCACCAATGAATAGCTGAGATTCTTCCGCTTAAACTGAGTCCAAACACGATATAAATCGGAGTAGGTTTATGAATACTTATTATACAGGGTGAGCCACGTAACTTGGACACATCAAACAACATTAAATTAGGTGATCTCGAGAATTTGAAAACCTCTCTACATAGAACCTCTATTAACCTTTGAAACCACGTATTTAACCATTTCTCATAGAAAGCATAATTTAAATGTCATTTGCGGTGTGCAGATTACGCGATTCACCCTGTAGATTGCTCATTAATCAATAGCTGAAATTCGTCCGATTTACGTCGTGTTTGGACTCATTTTAATCAGAAGAATTTCAGTTATTCGTTGGTGCTTGAGTTATAAAGGTGAGTCAACAATGACTGAAATTGAAATTTACCGCACGTTTATTTTATACTGATCGCGATGTCTCTTTAAATGCCGAATCTCGAGCGTCGCTGCTCGACAACATTTTTCCACGATAATAAAATTTTGAATAAAAATTCAATGAAATATTTGAATAATATATATATATATATATATATATATATATATATATATATATATATATATATATATTCATTGAATTTTTGTATACAAAATTTTATTATACATACTATTATATATTATTATATCTTGTCTTGTCGAGTCGTGCTCGAGTCAGCCATTGGAAGTAAAAGATGTACATACATAGCCGGTCCCATGTAAATTTAACCGTGCGCTCCTGGTGCAATTAACAAATTGAAAATGGTCCAAATGGATCTCAGCCCCTCAAATGGAGAATTTGAAAAAGATACTAACGCGCGCTGGTTTTTCTGTTGATAGGAAATATGTTTGGTGGTATTCTTCGGCGTGGAGTACATGGTGCGATTATGGAGCGCAGGCTGCAGATCAAAGTACATGGGATGCTGCGGCAGGCTGCGATTCATACGGAAACCGATTTGTATCATAGGTGAGTGCGTCCTCTAATGTGCATCGGGACCAGTCCAATCAGCCTATGCTTGAACTAATCCAATATGCGGATTGTGCAATTGTCCGCTTCGAAAATTGGATTGCCGGCGCAGTCACTTTGTGCTGAAGGACGGGTTCGATCGCCGATTTATACTCGGCGGATGCAATTCTTTGGGATGCCGACGATCGTTAACCTCAGTCGAGGGTCTCGAGAATCGATTGCTGATGTAACAAGGTTACATTTAATAGCAATTACGTTACATTCGAATATTAGTTTTTCCATTAGAATTACTTGAAAGTATTGGTTAAATATTTATTTTTGGTTCAGCTTTAGTCCATCTAAACAATTTCACCTAAATGTCTCCTCGAGCAGTGACGTTACAAAAAATGTACGAAATTCGACCGTTATCAGATGACGAACACGTTGCAGAAAGTAGTTTCTTTTCACGTACATTTTTTCCTAGAATTCTCAAAGTCGTCGATGTTGTCTTCCATGCGAGTTCGCATTTCATTTCATTGCATCACGTAGCCCGACGTTAACACTTTAATGGCCGCACGTCTACGCAGAATTAATTTAAAAAAACTTTATGTAAATTCATGAAATAATTCAACATACGCGAACATACACATAAAACGAAAAAAATATAGCAACAATAACAACGCATTTAAAAGAACGAATTTAATATTTTTCCTTTGTGTGATAATTATTAAAGCATCACACACATGTTGTGTGAGTGGCCATTAAAGTGTTAAAAATACATTGGATACATTCAGATAATGGTTTGATCTTGAGATGATCTTCGTCTCCGAGATGAAAACGAAACCTGAAATTATTATCTATCGGTAAACTAAAATTCAGAGACAAATATAATAACATACAACGATTCGCGATTACCAAAAACTATAAAAACGAGCTTTCATTTCGTTTCTAAGTTGAGGGACAATGTCAGAGAAATTACTGTATTACTTTATTTTATTACACTGTCGCATCCATAAATGCGTCTGTCCCATTCAATGCGGCTAATTGGGACATAATGCGCCTTTTAAAAAAGTTCAAAACGAAGCAAGTAAAAGTAGCATAGTTTCATTGACACTATGCACTCTTATAATAAAAGAACTGATCTTTCGAATGCTTCGAACTAGATTTAGATAGGTCGTCTAATTTCTTTCGTTGTTTTGTCCCAAATAAAAGTACTCTATAAGTACTAAATAAAGGTTTACGGCAGTATTCCTTTACCAAAGCAGTCTTTTGCTGTAACATACTGAAAAATTGCATTTTCGCCAACTTCTTGAAAAATGATATCACCACTCGTCGTAGCCGTGTCCGATAACATTTCGCAGCGTTATTGTTCCGCGAAGTTGAATATTCCATGGCAATCGAGCGCGCGTTATTGACCCTGCCGATAAGCACGCGACGGCTGATTCGATTAATGTTCGGCTGCGTGTTAGAATTTACTCGTCTGGTAATGTTCGTTTAATCGCGAATCACATTGCGCGAACCGCCGCACAGTAGCTCGAATATTTAAAATTTTATTAAGAAAACTGTATGAGTAGAATTTTCATGGTCACTGATCAGGAATCCAATGTCAAATGAATTTTTTAGTCAACTTTTAATCAACAACGAATACATTTTTTCAATGAAATAGTGAACTTTGAGATTACTGGTCGATAGTATTTTAACCCCTTAACGCGCAGAAACGTATTAACACGGGCGTGCAAAACCGGCCAAAATGTGCAGACCCGTATATATACGGTCGGCGTCGCAACTTATGTCGCTAAAATGTTCAGATTCGAATATATCCGGGCAGTAAAAATAACTTAATAAAAACCAAGGAAAACATTCAATTTATTGATATTCATCGTGTAATTCTGTATTGTAAGCTGTAAAGTTTGTTTATTTGGGATTATAAAATATGGCCTTTTAGGGTGACACTTATAAGCATCTCTGACCTGGTAATTGTTTCTATCTATCTATATCCATTATTGCGTATCTAATTAGCGTTGGCACTTTTGTGAGTTTTGTTATGACTAATTTATTTATTACTCTCCAGTTATCTCCGATCTCTTTCTATTTTTTGCTTATTCAGGAATAAAATTTGCTCTTTTAGGATGGAAGTAAAGTAGACGTTATCAAAGTGAATTTCTTCAAAGACAATTGTTTTTTATTTTTTACAAATATTATTAGTGTCAACATATAAAAACGTTTTTGTTTTATGGTGTATTTTTATAGAGAGTAAATTGGATTTTTAGTGTAT